CCGGCAGCGGAGCCCCGCCCCCTGGCCAATCCGCATCGGCCGGAGCGGGGCCGTCTCCCCTCGGCAAGATGGCGGCCAGGAGGCGCCCGCCACTCCCCGCCCGCTGAGGGGTTGGCGCAACTGTTTCGCCCTTCCGGGGCGTGGGTCGTTTCGCTCGCTCCTTTCCTGGTCGCTGAGGGACTTGCGGTCAGTGGCAGCCTGGGGCTGTGGGAACCAAGTGTACTCTATTTCTGGAGCTCTGCTGGTGCGCGCTGGCCAGCCGAGCCCTCTACGGCTCGGCGCACGCTCTCTCCGCGCGTGTCCCCTCCGCAAAGGGGGAGTTCCCCAAGGGTGCGCCGAGAGGACCCGGGCTGAACCGAAAACTGCGCTGGAAGAAAAGGCGGCGTTAACACCCTTCTCCAGAAAAGGCAACAAACCCGAGAGGCAAGTTCAGGGACTCTACGGAGATGACACTAGGGGCGGTGCCTCGTCTGATCCACCTAATGCTGCACCCACGTTATTTCCAACTGCACGCGGTGCCTTGGAGGAGGTCTGACCTCCAGGTCTTAGTTTTCACGTTTTAAAACGGGAAATGTCACTTCCCGTCTAAAGCGACAAACAAGGGTAAATAGGCCACTGAAAGAAGGATGAAAGTGCACTGAGTCTGTGTGTGGTAGATGGGAGCTGTCACTGCCCTTGACTTTTCTGGCCCCCAAGGGATGTGCTTGTGGCTGACTGGAAAGCAGCACCAGATCCTTTAGGACTTGCCAAATCTCAGGAGATTGTCCCTAGACGAATTTATTGACTTGCACGGGGTAGGTCAACAATGTGTGACTTCTGAGCCCCCTGGGCCACCCAAACAGGCGGGGCTATGCCTTAGGCAAATGGGAGAGAATAATTTAGGGTTGGAGTTTTGTAAAGTGAGAAGTGGCACAAAGGAATGCTAATAACTGTCCACAGTTTGCACCAGGTTTTTGTTTTTTTTTTTTAATCTCTAGAAACAGTAATTTCATGAGATTCAGTTTAATACCTAATCTTAATGACCTTACAATGATGCTGGTAGTATACTACTGTTATGTAAATGAGGTGTAGACTAATTCAAATTCATTGGTAAACCTAAAATTTGAACCCAGGTCCACTTGGGCTATAAATAATTCCCCGTCCCCTGGCTATGTAGCCTGTGAATTTGGAGACCTCTCACTAAGGGCCAAAGAAAAAGTGGTGAAGACCCACTTGATGTCACACCTCCAGAACTTGTAGCAAATGAGTTTGAGTGCCTTTCTCACTACCCCTTCTCACCCCCATCTCACATCATAAGTGCTCAGGTAATTGTTACGTGTTTGAGCACAGACCCTGAGTCCTGATTATTTTCTGTCATTTACTGGCATGTTATCTAACCTTTTTATATATGCTTCTTCAGCTGAGAAATGGGAGTTATCAGTAACACCTAAAAGAATTGAAATTATATTGTAAAGTGATTGGAATGATCGTTGATCGTCACAAATCTTATAGTGTTCTGAAGATTTAGTATTTTATCCTCCTGGCTTTACACTCCCCAAGGGGACAAGCTGACGAATTATTCATGTTTTCCAACATCAAGTCATTGTAGTAGTATTTGTTGAATGAATGTCCTATTACTTGCCCTCTTAACTTTTAATTTAGGCATGGTGGGACCTCCCTGGTGGCCTGGGATCAAGTTTCAACACTAGGCCTAGGTTGGATTCCAGACCACAAATAGTGTAGTACACCTCTCCTGTCCAGCCTGCAGTGTATTTCAGACCCCCGTTTTGCTCCTTACAGTCTCCTGTGAATCCTCACATACCCCTATCCCACACTTCTGGCCTATACCCCACTTCTTTTACACACACGCAGTCTTTAAAAAAAAATTATCATTTAAAAAACAAGTAACTCTAGGTCTGGGAGGTGTTTTAGAGATGATATAGGCCAAACTCATTTTATTAATAAAGAAACCATGACTGCCGGTTGGGTGTGGGAGTTCTCTTTTATCATTCACTAGGAACCTAAGAACAATACTCCGCAAAATAAAACTCAGTTCTACAGGAATGCATTTCCAGGGTAGTAAACACTTCCATAACACAAGGGCACTGAGCCACTCTTCCTCAAACTTGCCACTCAGATCCTAACCTACAGTGGCTATGCTGACTCCCCTAATAGGATCCTCAACTACTCCATTCAGCAAAGCCTTGTCCGTATTTCCTGTTGGGTGGCAAGTACTGTATTAGGCCCAGCACCTAATGCTGTGCAGGGCAGATAAGGTAACTTCCAATCTTCTCTGGTTCCCATCTTCTTTACTGTTGGGGGTGGTGAGTAATGAATATTAAGGGAGGTTTTCGGCTATCAGGAGCAGACTCCCACCCTGGCTTTCAGGCCTTTCTCTCCTTCCTGGAGTCCTCATTCAGATCATGGGAATCCCACCCATCCCCTACCTTTTCTTGGTCCTGAGACAAACTTTCATGCTCAGTTGAGTTGCAGTTCTTTCCTTTAGGCAAGTATCTGGGAATAGGCATGGGGAGGGGTGGGAACTGATGCCTTTTTTTATCCTATTTCCCTCTGTGGCTTTCTATTCCCCAATGTCACCAGGTTTCAGAATCTAGCCTTACAATCTAGACTTTGTCCATTATTCATGGAACTCTGATCAATAAATGATAGTGCCCGAGAATCTGCAGGTTTTTCTGGGCTCCCAGGTTATCAGCCCCCACCTCTGCACTATCTATTCATGTCCTTTTTTGAGGGATGAGATTTTCCCTGATCAAGATATCCTTATATGATGTTGTCATACCCACTTCATGTATACATAGGAAATAGCATCACAGTACTTGAATAAAGCCACAAAGTTGTAGAGGTCAACCGAATTCTTATCTACCTCAAAAACCTGTCTTCTTTTTCTGTCAGTCAGGTATATCATATCTTTATTGTTATGGACTGAATCTTGTCTTTCCCAAATTCCTATGTTGAAACCCTAATACCCAATGTGACGGTATTTGGAGACAAATCTTCAAGGTTAAGGATTAAGGTTAAATGAAGTCATAGGAGTGCAACCCTGAACCAACAGGACTAGTATCTTTTTTTTTGCAGATGATTTTATTTATGCATACAAGAGCTGGGGTATAGGCCAGAGGTGTGAGAGGATTCATCACAGTGGGAAACAGAACAGGCAGATCAGATCCACTGAAATACACTGCTGAGGGGAGCAGTGGGCTAGACAAGAAAAGGTCTGCAGTAGTTCCCTAGCTAGGGATGAACTGCCAGTAGCTTCATCATGCTGAGACTTAACCCCTTGCGCCAGTGGGGTGGCCCTGGTATCCTTTTAATAAGAGGATGAGACACCAGAAATGTGTTCATATGGAGAAAAAGGCTCTGTGAGGACATGGAAAGAAACAACTGTCTGAAAATCAGGTAGAATGGCCTCACCAGAAACTAATTCTGCGGACACCTTGGACTCCAGCCTCCAGAACGCTGAGAAAATAAATTTCTGTTGTTTAAGTTAATACAATCTGTGGTACTATGTTATGACAGCCCTAGCATACTAGTAATTCTCTTCAAATTTTCATAGAGCAACATGTAGAAAACATTTCCGGAGCATGAGGTGTACTCTAACAAAATACTTTTAAACTTAAAAGGATGGGCTCGTCTTAAGGCCAGCCCACAGCTGTGGAGAGCCAAGCCTGACAGAGAATCCTGTTTTAGAACTTTCCCAACATAGGAAAATGATACAAAGCTGGGCAAAGCAAACAATGCAGCTGTAAAATACAAGATGGAACTTATGCTGCTGACAAGCCACTTGGCATTTGGTTTAAGAGCAGGAATAGCTAGCAGAACTTAGGAAAGAATGCTAGGTTTGTACCATTTCTCAAACACAACAAAAAAATTGATTATAAGAAGACCTAATCTTACTAATCTTTCATTCTTATGATCATCTTGCAAAGTAGTTCCTATTTTCAGGTAAGTGGACCAAAGTACAGAAAGCATAATGTCACTTTTCCATAGTCATCTGGCTAATGTATAGTAAGCTGGAACTTGAACATGGGTCTGTTCCCAGGCCCCATTTTCCTACCTTATTGCTAACATCTTGTTTTCTTCCATCAGCTGATGGGTAGATGTAATGTGCGCTTGAGGGAATACACTTGGAATCTCTTATCATCTGTGTAGTATTCTTGCCAAAATTCTATGCTCTATAATACTACGCCTCTTGAGAAAAATGTTATGTCAAACTTCTAGAAGCATATTAATAGTATTGTGGCATAGGGACAGTACTGGTATACAGGGTGATAAAGTCCTTATTTTTAGATGTATATAGGCCTTGTCTGCCACTTTTCTCAAGTGGCTGAGAAAATAAGTGTGTATTACTAGGTATAAAACAAATGTGGCAAACCATTAATCGGTATGAAATGTTGGGCTGTGGATTCCATAATCCTAAACCCTCAAGTCTTACTTATAATAATAATAACCATCATTTATGTAATAATTGTTCTATAGCAATTTTTTTTTAATGAAAGGTAAGGAGACTGAAGTTAGGGTTGAAGCCCCAACCATTAGCAAGTTGTGAAAAGATCCTCTTCTCTAAATTGTGAATACTTGATTGTCTACTTTCTTTAATGGAGCCAGTATCCATAAAGCTAAAAGATACACCTTTTATTTTCTAGCCCACTAAACCCAATTTAATCTAATGGGAGGGTAGAGGACAGTATGAGAAGGGGTGGCATAGACAGTATTTGATGGGAGTAAGAACTTTACCAGTAAGATTTACCTAGTCATCTAGGGAGACTGGCCACCAAAGCACATCCTCAGGACTATTTCTGTGGCCACTTTTAGACTTTATTTCACATGTTTAGGGAAGATGATCTGGTTCTACAATCAATTCCTAAGCCAAGACCGTGTGGTGGCCCTGTCAAAAAGGAAATTCTAAAATGATGACTTTTTAGCCCCTAGCTGATTTACTAACCAGAGCACTCAAATATGCTTATGTAGCTGACTTTGTCAGAAGGCTTCCAGAGAATCCAAGAGGTTCTCTCACCTAAGACAGCAACAAAGCCATGACACTGTGGACACCATGGCAGTAGAGTGGGTCATCTCCCATTTTGCAATGGAAACACATGGAACAATACCTGGTTTCACTTCAAATACATTTCCCTTTTATTAAAGTTCAAGTCATCATTATATGGTTTGGAACTCAATAAAGGAAAATGTGTTGAAATAAGGTAATCTGTTATTTTCAGCATTTCCAGGTGACTGTTGACATCAAGTAGCAGTATGAAGAAGTTCTTGGGAAGCCCATCTATAAGAGAGAATGAAGATTTAATCATGAAAAAAATAATGAAACAGTAGAAATCTTTTCTAAAAGATTCTTTAGAGCAACAGCCCAAGGAGGTCACTGGTTCTGTAAAGCATTTTCTGCTCTGACAGGCCTTCAGGCTCTGTGGCTTTTTTGGTTATTTATACCCCTGGTACTTTCTGAGGTAGTCTTCTAAAAGAAAGTAAATAGTTGTCTTTTAAAAATAGTTTCTAGAGAAATAGAACGTTACCTCAGTCTATATGTCCTATATAACAATCTGGATTCCTTGGAAAAATAACTGATAAAGTGAAAATGTAGCTCAAGTTTTTAGAGAGCCTCCTCAGAGTCCCATTATGGAATATGAACGAGACAACAGCTTTAAAAATTTAACTAGGAAAACCTCTATTCTGAATACTTAAGTTTCCTCGAAGTACTCACAGAAATCTTTCACGTACACACACACTTTCATGTATTACAAAGATGAGCAATCTGTCTCTAAGGATGTAATGGTCATAGTATGGGGACAGACAAGGATATGAAGAAGTTCTTGGGAAGCCCAAAGCAAGTTTTAAAAAGAGAGTACCACCAGAATTTCTCTGGTGGTGCAATGGGTTAAGTGCAGCACTATGAGGCTGTCTGCAGTCACTGCAGCACGGGTTCGATCCCTGGCCAGGGAAGCGACCCACATGGCACAGAGACCTCTCCTGTCTTGCCTGCTGCTCCCCTCAGCAGTGTACTTTGGTCACAGTTGGCCTATTCTGCTCCCCACTCTGTCTCTGGTGAATTCTCTCACTGCCTCTATACCTCTGGCCATACCCCAGTTCTGTGTGCATAAATAAAAACAAAAAATCAGGTGTTAAAAAAACTCACAAAAACACATGCATACTGAATACTTTGTACACAGTGGATAACCTTTTGGCTGGGGCAGGTTAAAGGGCTAGAATTAGGAAAAGGTACACAGAAAACTTCAATTCTATGTGAAACTGGTCATGGGGGGGAGGTCAGTGGGGGGAAAGACAAACAAATTATGTGGTAAAATAATACCTGAAAATATGAGTGTAGTTACATGTATTCTCTATGCCATTCTTTATGCTTAAACGACTTCATATATAGATTTTTTAAAAAGATTTATTTATTTATGCATACAGAACTGGGGTACAGGCCAGAGGTGCAGGGGTGGTGAGAGGATTTACCAGAGACAGAGTGGGGAGTAGAACAGGCAGACTGATGAGGTACACTGCTGAGGGGAGCAGTGGGCTGGTCAGGAGAGGTCTGCCACGCCATGTGGGTTATCTCTAGGGTGGGGATCAAACTCATGCTGAAATGGCTTTAGCTTCTTAATGCTGTGCTTTAACCTGCTGCGCCACCAGGGAAGGCCCTTCATATAGACTTTTAATGAAGGTGGCATTTAGTTGCCTTTATACTACTAAAAGAACAATTCTAAAACTCATTGTACTCTAAATTTCTAAGATCACATCCTCTAGCACCGGTATTAAAAGGTTTTGTTCTTTCTGAGAACACTGAAATGTTACTCCCTTTACTCCCGCTCAGAGGTTTCCTGTCATATTCAGTGCTGTGTTGCTTACCCATGAAGTTTACACTTTGTCAAGGCCCAGTTCCTCTGGAGTGGAGATTCCTAGTTCATTTAAAGTTGGTCTAAGCTCCTGGATGACATAGGGGTAGATTTCCTTATGCGGTCCTGCTTTGTCCTAATCAAGAAAATATTCATGTTTAGCTCTCTGAAGTTGTGTTTGAAAATGTTTTTAGTCACATAAAGAGGCGAGTAGCACAAAATACAAATCATCTACTTTTCAGTTAACATGTGTTCAATATAGAACTGTTTACATTGGCACTATTCAGGGTGGGGTTTAAAAATACCTTGAGAATAACTAAGACAGTGAGACGAAAGAAAAAAAACATTTGAAAGTCTTGAGTTACTGGAAATAAAATGGTGATGACAGAATTTTGTGAAGGTAATTAAACATGCCCAGAAGGCAACATGAGTAATTAAATTAACACAGGAAAAGTTTTTAATTTGCCTCCTATTTAAGACCCTAACTGAATTAACCACTGGAGCTGAATGGATTAATAGCCTACAGAACCCTTAATTATCTTACTCTGTGTAGCTAGAGTAATGTCACACTTCCCTCTTACAGATCTTTCTTACAGACCGGAATGTCTTTTCATGGAGAGCTACACTTAAGAGAATATTTATTTCCAGAGCAAAAGAGTTATGAGGCTTACCAAAACTTATATTGGCATAAGATTCCAGGGCCAAATATTAAAAAGATATGGACTCACAAAGTATATACAGTTATTCTTTTACCTTTAACAAATTCTACTGGTAGGTTTAACTGTATTTTTTAAATTATAAAATTCTTGTTTAGTAGGCAACATATTTATTACAAAAAAAACCCCCAAAATTATAAACAAGAGGGAGATTAAATATTCTCCTACATTTTCATCTATCTTTTTGATAAAATTGAGGTCACACAATTACTGAATGCTTTCACTCATTTGTGGACTATAAACAACAAAGGAAAACAAACTGGCAAAATACAACAAAAACCACTCCTACACTCTGAAAATTACAGTAGTTACCAAAGGAGCTGAAAGAGGGAGAAGAGAGGTCAGTAATATGACAGTGCACTGGCGCTAGAGCTCTGGTGGGTGAAACGTGTTTATTTTGAGATGTGTATTCTCAAAGTTTATTTTCTTTACCTAATAAATACTATGAATATGCTTAATGTTAAATACATTTCTGCCACATTAACAGATATAAGATAAATTCTCAAATGAAATTGTACAAAAGGGTATCAAGCACAATTTCTAAGGCCTTGGAAAAATCCTGCCAAACTTCTTTCAGAAAGACTGTAATTGCAACGTACATTCTCTCTAGCTACAGAATTTAAGTATTTTAATAAATTAAAAAACATAGAACATGCTGATTCTTAATGAGCAGCCTAACCATTTGCAGAACAATTTCAGCCGTCACTTCACTGACCTTAACAACTTCTAGGATGCGAACTGCACTGGCAAAATCATTTAATCGTCTGCAGGCCCGCAAAGCAGCATCAATGATTTTGGGTTCTGGAACCAAATCATAGCCAACAAGTGTGTTCATTCCTGTTAAATTAAAAAGAGGGATCACGTCAATCTGGAATATCCTCACTCAAATTACAAGTTAGTTAAATTTTTACTGAATCACATATATGTGACCTTATTGGAATCTCTCTATTCTCTTTACAAAGTCCGCGAATGGGCCTCCCTGGTGGTGCAGTGGGGTAAATAAGTCTCTGCACCATAAAGCTATCTTGGCAGCCACTGCAGCAAGAGTTCCATCCCTGCTGACCCCCATAGCACTGTCTCACCTGCTGCTCCCTCAGCGGTGTATTTCAGTAGATTGCTTGTTCTGCTCTCCACTCTGTCTCTAGTAAACCCTCTCACTCCCACACCTCTGGTCTACACCCCAGTGCTTATATACATAAATAAATTTAAAACCACAATGCATTTTTTCCAAACTGGTTGCTTTACACAAAAAGTAAAGACTACAAAGAAGTTCATATTTCTGTATCCAAGTTTGAGAATCTACCTTCAATAATGTAACTTCTACCTTAACAGTACATCTTTTGCAGTAAATTAGTAGAGAGAACCATGCATGCGGACTGAAGTAAAAACCAAAGTTTCCTTAAATGCATACTACTTTCATTACCAATTAGATGGCTTCTTTTCTTTCTTTTTTAAAAAAGATTTATTTATTTATGCATTCAGAAATGAGGTACAGCCAGAGATGCAGGGGCAGCGACAGGACCCACCAGAAACGATCAGGGACCAGAACAGACAGACCTACAAAGTACACAGCTGAGGGGAGCAACACGCAAGAAAGGAGAAGTCTGCCGCGCTATGTGGGTCACCCTCCAGGCAGGGGTCGAACTCGCACTGAAGTGGCCAGCTTGCTTTAGCTTTTCAGTGCAGTGCTCCAACCTGCTGCCACACCAGGGAGGGCCCTAGGTGACTTCTTTTCAAGAATCAGTCTCAACAAACAATTCTAACTTTTTGTAGAATGGATATTGTTTTGGTTGCTTTAAATAGACTTGTATGGAAAATAATCTAGGCCCTCCCTGGTGGTGCAAAGGGTTGTAGCACAGTGCTACAAAGCTAGCCACAGCCACTGTAGGGCGAGTTTGATCCCTGGCCAGGGAGGTGACCCACATGGCACAACAGACTTCTCCTGTGTTGCCCGTTGCTCCCCTCAGCAATGTACTTGGTCAATCTGCCTGTTCTGCTCCCCACTCTGTCTGTGGTAACTCTTCTCACCACCCCTTGCACCTTTAGCCTATACCCTAGTTCTGTATGCCTAAATAAATAAATCTTTAAAAAAATGAATGGAAAATTATCTAAAAGCAGAGAAGCTTCAGGAGAGTTAATGAAGCTCAAGCAATGTTATTAAGGAGCTATTGTAGAAACATTAGTGCAAAGCCTCATAAACATCCAACCAGAAAACAATTGGGCATGATTACTTTCAGTTCTGCACAAAATGACACAACATAAAATAGAGGATTCTTTTAATGGAAATGCTTAATTGCTTTTCATTTCATTACTTCTCTATCCAAGATTATTTAATAAGAACTTCCTGGGTTGCAGTAAAACAGAGTTTGCAGACATTAGAAGCACTTAGGTTTCTTACGTTTATTTATTTTTAAACAGTTAAACAAAGGTCACCAGTAATTACAATGTTAGAATATAGTCAGAGACTGAATTCTCCATCTGAGATAAATTGCCTTACACTTAAATTAGTTATCTACTAGTCTAACCATTAGATCAGTTACAAGTAACGTTAAGTGCATAACTACAAATTTAGGAAAAACAAGTTGTACTTACTTAGATTGGATGTTTCCTCAGAGCAAGACAAATCACAGCAATTCGAATAACAAAAAACCCAATCCATTACCAAGGGAGAGAACCAAATGACTACTTGCACAAGTTACCTGAAGGTACACAACTGCTAACTCCCTCTCATCTCAACCTATCATTTTAACAGTGGCCTCCAAACAGGTTCAGTTTTGTCTCCCAGGGATTTTTTGGATGTCACAACGATAAGCAGAGTTTTAGCATCTAGTAGTTGAGGCCAATGATGCTTCTAAACACCCTGCAATTCCAAGGACTGGCCATGCAATAAAGAAGTAACAAATCACAATTAACTATATGTATTAATTATCTGCATTTTATGCAAGAATTAAAATATCAATTGTGTGTGCTTTACAGGAAACACTATGGACGGTGTAAATGTTTCTAACTAAGTTCCTTGACAGTAGCCAGTTTACACAATGCATTTTTTTTTTAAAGATTTATTTATTTTATGCATACAGAACTGGGGTACAGGTCAGAGGTGCAGGGGAGGTGAGAGGATTCACCAGAGACAGAGTGGGGAGTAGGACAGGCAGACTGATGAAGTACACTGCTGAGGGGAGCAGCCAGCAAGACAGGAGAGATCTGCAGCACCATGGCCAGGGATTGAACTCCTGCTGCAGTGGCTTCCGAGAGCTTCATAGTGCTGCACTTTAACCTGGTGCACCACAAGGGAGGCCACAATGCATTTTTTTCTAAATTGGTTGCTTTCCACAAAAAGTAAAGGCTACAAAGAAGTTCATATTTCTATATTCAAATAGATAAACATGCCTATGCTCCAATTACCTTTACGCAATTCCCAAGCATCAATATCTGGCTTGTTGAAGTATGTCACCCAGCGAGCATCAAACTCCTCGTCTGTCTCATGTGATCCATGGGAGTAGCAGCGAACTGACTGAACAGCTATAATGGAGACAGAGCAATAAACTTCATTGTACAGAAGTAGGACCTAACATATATTGATTGTCTGCATTAAGGTTTTGTTTTCATTGTGTAAAAAATACGTAAAACAAAAATTTCCCATCTCAACCAATTTTAAATGTACAGTTCAGTGGTATTAAATACATATGACACACTAAGAGTCACTTATATATGTCATGGCAGGAAAATTATTTAGCAGGACAAATTTGATGTATTGATGTCATTAATTCCTAATTTAAAATCCATTCTTGTTCTTGAGCAAGTCTGTAACATATTACATCTTGTAAATCTTATGCACTCCATTAAATTATATTCCAAAATAAATTAAACATTGTGACATAGCAATGTTGTTTTATCAAACCACAGTCCTCTTCCCCCCAAATTCTGATAAATCACTAAAGAGCAATAAAGCCTCCTACTTATATACCTAATTTAAAAAACATTCTTATAGATTTAAAAAGTGGATTTTTAAATACACCATTGCCAGGGAAACAGGAAACACTTAGCATCAGCTCCCAATCAATATACCTATTGTAGTACCATGTTAAAAAAACCTTTGAATTTTGCTTTCTGCTTGCAAATCAAGTTAGGAATTTAGGTTCTTTCTAAACAGTCTGTGTAGGAATTTATCTTTTGGGTTTTAAGTGGCAACAGAGTAGTGTTTATATGCTTCTAGCTCTTCATTCTCCCTCTGTATTACCCTGGGAAAATTAACTTGTTTTATTTTCTTTACCTGTAATATAGAGATACCACAACCTTAACAGATTATGACAATCAAAAATGAAGGCAGGTAACACTTTGTACAAGACATAGCACCTTATAGCTATGCAATAAATGGTAGCTATAAATTAATCTTTATCTACAAATGTCTTAACTGATTTTCAGTTTATGGATATCGTAATTTGTAATTTTACTGAATTATATGAAGAAATAAAACCTTCAAATTACATTTCTTATTATAGAAACCAGAAACATTTGTTATAATCTAGTTATTTTGAAAGACTTAAAAAAAATAAAACAAAACCTGTCTAGAAACCTTGCCTACAATTCTAAACACTCTGGAATTTACTTATTTTTCCCATGAAAAACTTATTTGCGTATTATTATATATATAATATATATACATTTTTATACATTTTATATATCCTTTTTTTTAACATCATTCTTCATTTTGTACATTTTTCATCTCAGTTGTAATCCACGTAGACTTCCTATGACCACTTCACCCATGTGCCATCCACTCTAGGATCTAAATGTTAGGGATCATTAATATAGCAACTGGAATAAGAAAGAGGAGAGAAAAAAATAATCACAGCACAAATTTCATTCTCCTCAGGGACCTGAATTATCTCCACAATTCAAGCCCATAATAAAGTGGGTCAGGTATATAGTGTTTGATAATCATTAATTTCTATGACAAGAAAAAAGGAATGGCTCTCTAGATCCAAATGCATTTGGTGAGTGCAAACATTTAATATATCAGAAGCATAGCTCACAACCATGTAATCCATTGTTATCCAAAAATTTATAAGCTACCCTTTCCAAAAACTGAAGTTATACTTAGGCACTTACTTAAAGTGTAAGTGTGAATGAACCACTTTGGAAACCTTTCTCACCAATTTAAACACACCTACCATCTCACCCAATAGTTCAACTTCTAAGTATTGTTAATTACCAAAAAATATGTGTACCCTTCCAAAGAAATTATTAAGTTGGTTTTTCCTACCACTCAAGTAACTAATTCCTTTAGCTTACTGCTGATTTGACTAGGTGAATGGTAGCTTTGTTTTGTTTTCTGTGAAAAAAGATGATCAGCAACTGCAAATCCAAGTCAAGGAGATCACCTTCAAGGTGATCCAAGTCAATGGATCACCTTCAGTGATAGGTTCAAGACTTTTAACACTTCCTCTAGGAAGTCTTACAAAAAAAAAAAAAAAAAAAAAAAAAAAAACTTCTGAAACAACTGTTTAGAATATCAACTTAGTACTTGGAACACACATCCCTTCTTTGAGGGGAAAAACAGACTCTCCTAAATGGTTAAATTATATCCCTAATTCCAGTAGTGGGGTAGGGTAGGATCTAATCTCCTAGTTATGAACATGCCCCCAAAATGCTCAACATTTTGTTTTTAGGTATATAGTATTCTTTCTCCCACACCTACCCTACTTAAGTACAGCATTTCCACTTAGAACTGTAAGGCAAAACAATCACTCAGTGCTTTTATATAACCTGAAGGTACCAGAGCAGGAAAAGGGAGGCAGCAGTAAAAAACAAACAAAATAACCCAGGGCACTTCTATAGCTTCAGCCTAAAAAAATATTTCTAACTCTGCTTTTTGGCAATGTTAATTAAAAGGGGGGGGGGAGAAAGTGCTCATATTTTTTGAAAACTTTTTTAAGGGGTTTATTAATCCCTAGGGTTTAAATTAAGCCAGATAGCTTTTCACAGACAACATGTGAAGTGGTGGTGGTAATTCGAAGACTAAGAGAAAAAAGCAAATGATGTTGAGGGCTCATAACAAACTCAGAAGCAGTAAGGTACAAGATTCAGCCATGCATCTTGGGGCCCAAAGGCTGGAAATCCAGAAATGCAGAGTGATGCAGAAAAGGTGGGAAGGTAATAAAATACTATTAAATTCAGCCCAGCACCAAGAAAGGAAAAGGGGAAACAACTCCTTCCCTTCCCCAGATCTCTGGGGAAGAACGTAGGTGCTAGGATTGTGTAGGTTTTAAGGGCTGACTGGAAAATCTAATCATTATTTTAAATGATTCAATTATCTAATTCAGAATCTATTGGAAAACAATTCTGTCAGAGATTAGAGACTGTACAAAATATAGAATTAGGTTGCTGCTTAACTAGAGCAAACTTGAGTCCTCTCAGGTTAACCCATCCACAGCTTGCTCACTCTTTTAAAAAAAGATTTATGTATTTATGCATACAGAACTGGGGTACAGGTCAGTCATGCAGGGGGTGAAAGGATTCACCAAAGACAGAGTAGGGAGCAGAACAGGCAGACTGACGAAGTACACTGCTGAGGGGAGCAGCAGGTGAGACAGGAGAGGTCTGCTGTGCCATGTAGGTAACCTCCCTGGCTGGGGATCAAGCTCTATGCTGAAGTGGCTGCTCTAGCTTTGTAGTGCTGGCTTTAACCCACTGTTCCATCAGAGTGGGCCCCAGAGCTCTCTTTCAAGTATATTCACATTTGACCTTGGATAGCCTCATCCTAGAACTGTAATCCCTTTTGATTGCATAATCCCCTCAGCCTCACACACAAAACAATCCTTAACTATAATATGCAAAAATGAAATGCCTATAATAAAGCAAATATGCATTAAACATTTTGCCAGGCAAAATGATAAGTGCTTATCTCACTTAAGCCTCACAACTACCAAATATTATCCTGATTTTAGAGATGAGGTATCTAAGTCTTAAGGTTAAGCATGTCCAAGGTCATAATGCTACAAAATAGCTGACATAATTGTAGACAATACTGCGCCTCCTTGTGGTAAATATTTAGATCTATAGGACAGAAACCTAAAGTTAAGCTTTTTATGAATTATGCTCAAGGGGAACAGAACATCTAGAAAAGAAACTGCATTGTCTAAAGAAATTAAGGTATCCATCCCCTTAATCTACAGTTCATCCAAACTTCTGCCATCTGTCTAACCTACCACAAAATGTAGCGCTTCTTTTGAACACACTTCTTTTGAACAGGTCAGAGGGTAAATATATGGAAAAAGTAAAGTAGTACTTTAGCACTTAAATAAGGAAAGAAGTAAAACAAAACAAAAAAACCAAAACTTGACAAACATCAGGATGGGTCAAAAATATCTATGTCTAAAAGACACAGAAAACAGTTACACAGGAAGCAGTATCCAAGAAGGGCCTCCTTTTCTTCTATAAAATCTGATGGTCAAGGTCTCTTAAGTGTACCAGTCTTACTGTTCTAAGTTACAGAAGGTAAAATCTAACTTGAATTAAAAGAAATATATCCTTGGGTTCTGAAAGTTCCGAAGGATTAGTTCCGAGTTTCCAAATCCATACTTAAATATGTATGCTTAGGGGCTAAGTATATACCACATTATGGAACAAAGTGCAGTTACAATAACTAAACGGACAGCGCTGGGGCCAAATTCTTCAGAACACAAACGAGGCAGGAATTAGCAGCACATCTCAGTCCAGCAACCAAGGCATGGAACCCGGGGCAACTATAAACTCCCCCATATTTGCATAAGCCGTGCCTGCGATCCCCGATCATGGAGTCAGCAATAAAGTCACATCAGAAGCCCTAGCAACATTCATGTTGTCTTTCAGATCTCAGGGAACCGCCACACAAGACGCCCTACCATAAACCTGGATCAGAACATGGCACAGACGTGCCGGAGGAAGACTGCCAGCCTGTGAAGATGACATACAAAACGCTAACCGAGAAAGGGCTGGTTGAAATACAAAGTGTGC